ACTACTGCTACTACTACTGCTACTCGTACTCGGCTTCCGCTTTGTGTGGAAAGAACAGAGAGACCTGGGCTTCAAGTCAGCTCTGCTGTTTGGATGTCAACAGGGGGTTCAGGCCTCAAAGTTTTATTCCCAGGGACTTATCCAGAAAAAATTGGGGCCGGACCGAGCTTTACCAACTCCTATCTTGAAACATAACCTTGAGATGGGAGGGAGTAGCAAGGGTTTCCTAGCACAGAGCAACAGGACCCAGCGCCGTCGTCCGCGTCTTCTCGACAGAGGCAGAGCTGCAGCAGCTGGCTGAGAGTGCGACATCTCCTTCCTCATGGAGATGGATGCGGTTCCCGTCAAGAGCCATGCCGGCAGGGAACATGGCCGTCCGCGGGAGCCACTACTTGGGCGACATGTCGGACCTGTTCAAGCAGATGATGCCGACCTATGTGGTGGATCACATCAATGGCAATGCCATCTACAATCAGAAGAGCCCCTGGACTTCCGCTTTGTCGCCGTTATGTGTCACGCATTCCGCGACAGCATGAATGGTGGCGGCATGATGGAAGAGGGCCTTCGATGTGGCTTTCGCCAAGATCACAATGGAGGCCCTGTCCAGAATAACACTCAAAGTGAAGGAACAAGTCTTGATGCCACTGGGCACAGTCGAGGGTAGGACTCGGGCTGCTCCTGCCAGAGAAGCCCCGCAGTTCATTCAACTGCTCAAGTGAAGAGTTGGAGTTGGCCGTGGTTTGACATTTGGGAGGGTGAGGCACAGGGTCGTCGGTCGGCACCGTTCGGATGCAGCTCCAATCTTGCAAACCTGATAGGTATCTCTTGGAAGGCGCGAAGACAGATGGGCTTCGAAGTTGATTGTCTGGCGCTTTGTGGTGCGGGCTTCCACAAAGCCTTGAGACCACGAGGTTTGCAATTCCTGGATGAACCAGAGACGTACAGGCTCAGAGCCCAAACTCATCACTATCATACACCTGTTTTTGCTTGCAAAACTTGTAGGACCTTAGGATTTTTTGAACATGTCCATATGCAACTCCCTGAGCCCTCGCGTTTTTACGATTCTTTTCACAATGAAACCCTGGGTTAGCTGCTTGTGATTGAGGTGCAGAGTATGGGTGGCATCGGTGCCCATTGCATCCAAGATTCTCGTATTTGCAAATGTTCGTGGAGGCCCCCCTCATGTACAAGCAACAGGGTATTCGGGTAGTCCTAGGAATGAGCTGACTGGGCATGCGCGCGTTTTGTTCATGCTCTATCAAGTGTTCCATGTCGCCTGCAAGTGTGGCCGGACAAACCTAACTAGCCATCGTTTTCAACGTCCTTACTGCAAGCCCAAAATAGGTAGATTCCGAGTACATTAGAATCTCTCCATGTTGATGGGCGGCGTCGCTGGTGGTTTCAGCCATTCTCCTATTCCTGCCTGTCGTGTTGGTTGTGTTGCCGGCGCGTGCCTCTGCTTTTGCAAGTATTGACTAGTGCTGCCCCTATAGCGCCGCGTACGGTTGCAGCACTCCTTTTCAGAACCGCCAGCTGGGAACAGCCCGGCAAACCTTTAGACTCCCTTAGACCCTAGCCGGCGGCTAACCGGATCATACAGCAGGACCTGCCGGCGGTTAAGGCCATGCTCGCAAAAGCGAAGGAGGCGACATTGCAAACACAAGAAGGGAGATAAGCAGCTAGGCAGGCGGAAGGCGAGGCTTTCTTTGTTCACAGTTACGGGCCCAGTCATTCTTTGTCACGGCTTAGGTGGATCGGCTCTGCAGGGTGAACCGAAGCTGCTTCGCTGTATGGATAGTTGCGCTGCCCAGTTCTGCTTGTGCAGGATTCCAGATGTCCTCTGCAGCTTATCCCAGGTGAGAGCTCCAAGAAAATGCTACAGACTTGTATACTATAGTGCCTAAATTCATAAAGCTCTAGGCCTTAGGCCTTTGGCCACCCGGCAGCTGCTCGCAGGTTCTCGGCCACGACCTGGCTTCAAAACGGCCCGGAGGACAAGTAATTCCCCAAGTATGTTGACCTGACACAGAGTGCCCGTTCTTTTTGAAAGGTGCTAGTGCTTGTCAAACGTGTCGGCCACATGTTCTTTCTCTCACAAGAGTGTATGTGTGTGTGTGCGTGCTTCGTCCAGATGTGGTCTGATGTGTACCGGCATAGTGGCTCAGCAGCAGCAGTGGCAGCAGTGATGGTTGTCATGCTTGTTATTATTGGTGGTGGTGGTGCTGCTGCTGTTGTTCTGGTTGTGGTTGTGTTGGCGATGGCGGTGGAGCGCGCCGCGAACAAACAGCACACACGAGACTTTCAAACTTCACCGCGGGCAGCGGCGCTTTCCGGACTACGGACGCTTCGAGCGATGTGGAAAGATTGTGTTTTGGACGTTTTTGGTATCTGTGTTTGGAGTGCTGGGTTAGCCCGTGTTCCCAGGTTGAACGGGTTGCAAGCATTCGGCGTTTGTCATTAGCGCAGCGCCGCTTGGAGAACTAGTAGGAAAGCACCTTGAAGTGCAGGAGTGCGACGGCCGGTGGAGATTGTGCTCTTCGACTTTGATGAAGTGCTGACACTGCCGACCTTTATGAAGCACGGCAGCAGAGGAAGCAGACTTGAAGTAGCTGGAACTTGTGCAGTACCGCAAAGTTACTGGGCCAGTGTTGCCGTGGGGAGGGACAGCAGGTTTTGACACCTTGGTTTTCTCGAGCAAAGCCGCCCTGCTTCTGTTGCCTCCGTGAGGTTAGCTTCATCGGTCTTTTGGCGTAAATATCGAGCGTCAGCCGCATCCTCTCCCAGATGTTGCTACATAAGTATTTCGGAGCGTGTCGGCCATGAATGAAAGGTAGATTCATAAGCCACTCAGTTTTCCTATTCTACAAACTCGTTCCAAGTACTTCCAATCAGGGTGGCAAAAATGAAGCTTTTTGCACGATTCTACAGTCTACAGGTCGATTCTGTCGTCCTGAACTGCATGCTGATGAGCTGAAAGAACAGGAGTACGCGGGCAGCGGCCATGAAGCCTGATCTGTGGAGGCCAGCCTACGGGCGAGCTTGTGCACCAATCTTGCATTCCTTTTCTCGACCCACAAGGTCCAGGTGGGTATGGAGGCTTCGGGGTACAGGTTTCAAGATGGCCCGCCTTCTGAATTCTGTGAAAGGCTCACAGGTGCGGATGCCTTAAACCTTTATCCGAACCTTGAACTCCAGACCAGAAGCTCAATCTAAAGGCCATGTAAGGCTTGAGCCCTTAGC